TTGAAAACAGTGAAATATTGATTTCTGCAGTAAGTGCCATTTTAGGCAACGTCGTGGTATTTACTTTGAGTTGTAGTTTGGAAACCGGCAAAATGCAGATACGAGTCGCCTAAAGCAACGAGGATTCGACAGTCCCTATAAAACGGCTTCCCAAAATTAACGGCACGAACGTAATTTGTCGGACTTCGTTCGGATTAAAATCTAAATCTCGCAAGCGGGTTACGCGACCGAAGATGTCCCAGCTGGGAACTCGCTACGGGATTTTTCTGCAAATCTTTGAACACGACAGTTTCGATTCCCCGCGGGCTCTTAAATACTTCTGAGAAGCAAATCAATATTCGAAACACTGTGAATTTCGCAATCGAAAGTTTAACGAGTCAATCGTTAAAATTATAAAGAAGTTACATTATGGAATGCAAATATTAATATTCCATCGAAATATAAGATTAGAATTTGAGGATATTTTATTGTTTACATATGCTTTGAGAAGGAAATTACTGTATATATTTTCTAAAAACAAGTATTTTTTAAATTTGTTACGCTACATCAAAATTTACATTACTTGGCTTTCCAGTGCTGATGCGTAATAAATATCGTAGGTAAAAAAAATATACATATAAGTAAGATCTATAAGTAAAATAGAGAGAAAATTTTTTAATTGTTTATTATTTTTTAAAAATAATAAACAATTAAAGTGTGTAGTTTATGCGACGATATTTGAGTATTCTCGTTATTTTAAATCACATATACGCCGGTATCTCTCATTAATTATCAATTTATAAAAAAATATATAAATTGATTTATTTCTCTGATTTTCACGGACAATAACCGGACAATTATTTGACATATAAATTCAAGTTTATGTTTTTCATTTCAATGATTGTTGGGATTGTTCCTGAGATATCGTAAATTCCGTCTTCATTGCTCTCAACTCTAAGTAGCCATTACCGGAAACTGGCACAATTCGAGATAGAGGCAAGCTGGCGGTCGTAATAATTGAAGTGCTGCGACTGTTTGCCGGACCGTTCGCCGACTGTCATCACTAAGATAGTGTCGCGTCGCATCGTATCGAATAGCAGCAATAGAGGTTGAATCCTAGAATAATCAAGATCTTCTGACGCTAACATGAAATAACGGAATTCTCATATCACAATCATTGTGATAGAAATAATACAAGTTTTGTTGCAGCTAAAATATCGGGTCCAATTTGCTTCAGTAAAAATTAGTTTAATGAAAAATAAAGCACAAATGATGATTTTTTGCTGAAATTTTTGCAGTCTTTATAACGAAGAACCCATCCTGGAAAATATTGTTTTTCACTTTGGCAGAAAACATCTATTTGTGTATACTTTCTTGTGGGATAGCGTAAAAATACACCGTAACGCGTCATCGATAACAACAAAAAGTAGACGTATACTGGGGTCCTTAAAATCCACGAACTTTCGATCGTTTTCCGCATGATTAAGATCCATTTCCGCTTTATCCTGATGATGTTGAAACGCGCTATCGATTTGCGCATTAAATCGCGCTTCGGCAAATGGTCCGGCAAACCGCTTCGCGAAGACTATATTTCGCATCGATTGCCTTCTTTACAGGTCGCGAATCAACGAATTCCCTTTTCGGTGACTTTTTATTTCCCCGGTGACATTTCGATATTTTTCATTTCACGACGACTTTGTTGTTTGCTACACGGGATAGGCGATCCTGTGAGAGCAAGAATTTGCAACGTATGGTGATCGGGCATCTAGGGCACTTGACGTTCTTGATGGCTATTTTCGATTTCTTTGTATGTACCGAGATTACTTTGTTATATTTATGGCACGTTACATACACCAGAGAATGCCCTATGCATGTTCAAAGCATATCCCGTAGAATACAATTTTGCAAGCTATGGACCAAAGGAACGAGATTCGATCTTAATAATTGCAACTGCAATCGACATAAAATGAGATTACAACTATAATATAATTAAAAATTAAAATTTGAATATAATTAAAATCTGCAAATGATAAAACAGAAATTCTAAACCAATTATTATGTGATATACACACACTGAAATGACGTTCTCTCTCTCTCTCTCTCATACTATATTTTATATACATATAAAAATTATATAAAAATATCATATATACATATATACTTATATATAGAATGTGCTCATATATGTTTTTTTTTCTTTCATACACTCTTTGTTCATTTATATAGGAAAAATGATAAAAATAATTGAAAAATAAATTGGAAGAATAATTTCCGCATTATTTTTTATAAAAAAAGTAAAGTTTACGATTAGATTACAAATATCCGAGAGAAAATAATGCTTATATGTAATTATATATAATGCTTATATATAATTATATGTATAAAATATTATATAATCTAATTGCAAGCTTTAAAAATTTCTTTAAAAAGATTTTAAAAAAGAATGCGAAAATTATTCGTTTAATTATTTTTTAATTATTTTATTTAATTATTTTATTTAATTTTTATTTAATTATTATTTAAAATTTTCAGCTAATGTTTTGAGAGTATACTTAAAAATGTGTAATATTATATATTCTATTTTTAATTTATATACAATTTAAATTTTTATTAAAATTTTTTACTAAACTAAAATATAATTAACAAAACTTTAATGCAAAATAAAGAATTTTTTTTCATACCAAATTTTTTAAACAGTCCATATGATATATATAATGATAACATGACATAAGAGAGAGAGAGAGAGAGAGAGAGAGAGAGAGAGAGAGAACATACATAGACATATATTCTGTATATAATTATATATTTATGTGCAATTATATGTGGATAATTTTTTTCCTGAGTAAATTTTCCCGTTTAAATCAATCTTCAGAAGTCTTGGAATAATCTTTTTCTAACAGTTTCCCTATATGTAGCGTAACAGTACTGCAACACACAGATTCGCATTTCTTCCGCACCGCGTTTGTTGTGCGGTACTTTAAATGCTTCACGAAACGAGTTCTCCCTATGCACACTAAGAGCTCATATATATTACTTCAGAGTCAAGTAGATTTGAACGAGACTCGGATGCAGCGAAGGGTTAAACGCAACAGTTACGTTTATCTACGTTGCACCGTCTGGCGCCGAGTAAACCCTGTATAGGATATCTAAAATCTTGGCTCTCTCCCTCCGTCTCTCTCGTTCTTGCACAACGCGCAGCAATCGGATAAAGTCGGTCGAACGAGGGTCCGTTGTGTCGCATGTGCACGACACGGCGCATAACGAGAGGATCGATGCAGCTACGTGCAGACGATGCAGTTCTTCTAAGCGTCATATCCCCGCGCCGGCATTTATCCCCGTAGTTTCTTTACAGCCACTTTTATCGAAACGACACGGCACGCAAAAATCGTAGAACCGATGACATATTTGCCTGCCGGCAGTCTTGCTCCTCGAATGCACGTCGCGATCGGTCGCGAGCGTGTACGATATATGTACCCACGCGAAGAAATATAATCCAATTATTTATTTATTGGAGGTAAATAATTCCCTTAGACGCGGTAATGCAAACAAAACATTTTCAAATGTTGTTTAAAGTTATTTTATTTCTAAATAATAAAAACGCAATAATAAAAATGCATTCAGAAATTGAGATAACTTTTATTAACTTAACTAAATTAACTAAATTGATGAATTAGGGGCAAAATATGTCAGCGATATTATCATTACAATATTTACAAATAATTACAAATAAAATGGCATTTCATGGGCTAGTTACATGAAATATACGTGTTTTATAAGGTTTTTTAAATGATAAATCTCTAATATCTCTATTAGAGATGTTATTTGACGTATGAATAGCTGGAGCAATTATGTTCCGTATAATGGTTGACATAATCGCAAGCACAATACACTCGACGCATTGACCTGCACGTTTATGTGAATTGAAGCACGGTCGGCTAAATCTCTGTGTATGTAACTTTGTTGATAACTCGGATTACCAATAACTGCGAAAAGTGGCTGTTGCATGACAATTCCATTATCCCGCCTATATTTTTGTTAAAAAAAATTGGTTCCTCCTTCTATTTTTTTATATTATATTATCCTCGTAATTCCGTTGAAATCGTACGAAATTTTCCATTACGATAAATATACTTAAAATCGATGGATATGTCTAAATAAATTAATTCTTAATTCTTCTACGATGTTTATAACAAACAGCCAATTATTTAATGGTCGATTTCTGTATGATTTTAACAAATTAGGAGAGTAAGAATTTGCATTATATTACATTGTCTATAACTGAAACATACTGAAACTCCCTACGTGAAAATTTGTCGATTGCTTTGTTTTATTAAATAATTAGTGCCATTACGCTCACGTATGATATGCCACAATTTTGCCGTGATAAAGTTATCACGATGATCGAGTTAAGTTCATACGTGTAACTTTGTTAATGCAATAACGAGAACTGTTGTTCTCATGCCAACCGTAACTATGTGGGCAAACGAGCAACATCTCGCCCATGATTGACACCGTTGATTAAAATCCAATTGAGAACTATTAATGAAGCTCTGAAGTGACAAACATTACACAAGCTTTCGCGGATGTGGACACTGGTAGACAAAGCAGAAACTCGAATACAATAACGGTTCTTGCAAACAAAATATTTTAGACGCTGAAATAAAAGACAGAATCAATATTTAATGAAAATCAATATTTTTATTGTTATCATATAAACACGAGACTAATGAAATTTAAATTTAATTTTTGACAATGCTGCAAATTAAAAAAAAATTGACGAAAAGAATTTTAGAGAACATATAGCTGAAAAAGTTTATTAACTAATTTATCTAAATTAATATTATTATATATTATTTTTATGATATAAAGAAGCGACTTAGTCTAAGAGTACCAATATCTAGAAACTGTGAAGGTCTTAAAATGGATGTGAACTGCGAGGTTGCGTTATGAAGAAGTCGAAGATAACTTTAATAAATGGCGGCATCTCATGAGCACCTCTTACAGAGCGAGATCTGTTTCAGGTGGAAGAATCGACCATGCTCACCATTACAACAATGCTTATCGCGCGCTGGATGAGACCCTGGCGTTGGAGGAAGCTGTCCAGGCAGTTATGAAGGAGGTAGATCTCACGGAAACGCTTCTTGTGGTAACGGCGGATCACTCACACGTATTAACCCTCGGCGGACTGGCGACACATCGCGGGAATCCCATATTCGGTGAGCCAACTTATATATTTCTGTCTTCAGTACGTTATATCCGAAATAAATGGGACATTTCCGCTACTGGGGATAGATATACTAATGAACAAACGATTAGATAATAAAATTTCTTCGTTAGGAAAATATTATATTCATTTCTTTAGGTATTTAAATTTTCGAACGATGCAATGTCAAGTTAATATAAAAATATACTACTTAAAATTAGGAGACAGCGAGAAAATAATGATTTTTTGTGATTGAATAATTGTTTTACTTTATAGTTTTATGACGATTACAAATCAGTAATAGTACATATCTTCATTTTCGAAGTATATATATACTTATATTGCATCAAGTTAAACCATTGAAATAAATGTGGGTTCAGCGATTATATTCTCATCGATAAATAATGATTTATTATATAATAATTCATTATTATATCTCCTCTATTTCATTTTATAATTAAATTATATTATATACAATTAATAATTCAACAAATAGAAATGGGTATATGTTAGTTCGATCCCGTTGCATTTTTCTCTTTGATTAAACACGGAATATCTCGACTTTTCATAACTTCGCTTATCTCGGCACCTGTTCCTCTCGTTCGGATTTTTAATCATGCACACGTCGGCGTAAATATAGTATGGTATGGTATGTGTTTGTGTGTGTGTATGTGTGTTAATAAACGCCGTCCCGACGACCGATTCCAACTGCCGTAATTCTCTTCTTCATCGAGAAAAAAAGCATTCTTTTCATTGTTGCACGGTTCCCGCTTTTCAATATCCGGAAAGAACGCGCCAACAACCGACTTTTATCCCGAAAGACAGCCTTCACAGAAAACATTATTGCATCACACTCAAATTAATGAGTTGCCAGTATCGGGTATATATATATATCCATTGCTTTATGCGCGTAATAGCTTAATACGACGCTTTCTTTCATCAGCGAATCGAGCTAAAGCCACAGTGTTTCCCAATCAGATTCGCGTTCACCGAATCTCTGATAACTTGATTAAAAAAGTTGTGGAGTTTCGCGGTAATTGCGCGCTTCTCTGTGAAATCGAGAAAGTAGGTCAGAAATAAACAGGAAACAAATATAAACTAGGTCGTTATTTTAGCGGTACAATTTATTTGAATAAAATATATGACATTTAAAAATTAGCATGCCATAAAATTAAGATTTTTTTATGTAAAAAGTGTATTTCTTTCTTCTTTTGTTCGTCTTGAGTTCTAAAAAATATTGAAGATTTTTTTTTTTTTGAAATTCGAGAAACATTGGACTATTAAAAAAGCATTGTGCATTTGACATTTTTATTGATCAAGTCAAAACATTTCCACTTTGCAGGATGTTTTAGAATCGTACTACATATATATGTTACAAATTTTGGCATAAAGAAAATGATACACAACTTGTGCAACTATTTAGTTTTAACAACTAATAAACAATTTATTAAAACTTACGTTTTGACGGTTTATATTGTATCATTATTGGCTGCGATCGATTTTTATAAAATACCCCTCGGACATGAAAACAAAAATGTTTTGCAAAAACACGCAAGTACTTTACCAAACAATATCTTCGCTCTAATGCAATATTTGTATTACATTCGTGACATATTTTTCGACAAACTTGCTGCATTTGCTGACAAACGAGAACGTCGTGTAAACCGCGCTTTATGGAAACCGTCTCCGGGGACGTCCCTTGGACGTCTCCCTTCGATCTCTCGTTTACGCCGTTTTTCCCGGCCCGTTATCCGTGAAGGCAACGAGCGACGCACTGATCCGCGACGAACGTCCAATTGTCGGCAATCAAAAGCGGACTCTTTGCCCGATTGCGCCCAACTTTTTCGCGAGGTAAAGTTTAACGCGGCCGTTGTCTCTCGTTCCACCGAGGTGCCGGCAGATGTTGACTCGAGATTCGTAACTGCCCTCGACGACGTTCCCCGTTGTCGCGATCCAATACCCAATGTGATGGTAGCGCGCTGTTTTATATGGTGACGCGAAGTCGTCTCCGTCAAGTGGAGGAGGGACGATCCTCTCTCTTCCGGCAGGACAGTTCTGGATTCAATAAGATCCAATCTACTTCGACAACTTCGTGAGCGGCCGTCGACCGTTCGCTCGGTCGCGGTTAAATTGAATCGTCGGAGAACGTAAAGGATGGCTTTTCGGCTCCGGTTGTACGTGCAGTCGCAAAAAGCTCGTTTCGTTTGTCCGATAGCAGTCGATCGAAAAAATAATCCGAAACGGAGGCGCACATTGAGAGAAAAAGAGAAAAAGAAAGATGTTGCTGAAAGTTTTAGCTAGCCCGATTTTCCAAAATTGACTATCTTGAATTTTATCGTTCGTTTCGTACGTCGTTTTTGCAGGATTGTTGGATATCTTATTACTCCATTGAAAAGTTAATCTGTTCACGTTTACGATCGGTTGACAGTCGGCTGCCACGAGTTTGCAAATTTTAAGCTTTAGAGCACAGAGTTTCATTGTATAATGTACAATGAAAATGTGTACAATGTGTACAATGTATAAAACTTGATATCTTTTTATTTACCGTTTTTCGGCTCTCTTTTTTTTCAAATGAGAGGAAACAAATTGCGTCATTTCGGACAGAAACTGGCGGAATTCAGCATAATTTTTGAGAGAATAAAAATTAATATTTTAATTCCTTTAAAATTATTTATACGCATTTATAGAAGAATTTAAACAAGTTTGCTATTTTTAAAAATAGAAATAAGAATGTATATATTGTAAATCTTTTTGAAAAAAATTTTTATTTGTCACACTTTTATGTTTCAACTTTTTTATTAATTGACTGATATTTTTTAAAGCGTGATTAATAATGAAACTATATAATAGCGATATCATTCTTATTCACATAATTAAATATAAATGTGAAGTGATTTGAAAAACGCATGGCTTACAATACAAATCGCTTTTTGTAAAATAATTTTCAGAAACAGGGAGAGAGATATTTGTTTATATGAAATGAGTGCAATAATTCTCCAATTTTTAAGTCAATTCCATTGACATTGCAAGCTTGCGTAAATTTTCCCAATCGGTTTCAAATAAATTTACTCGATTTACTCGAGCGGAAGATATCCAGTAATGCAATCCCTCATTATGATTATATTCAATAACATTCCGCATGATTTAATAGAAATTTATATATATGCATGATAGTGGACATAATTCAAGCGAGATAGCTCTATTAATTAAACAGTTCGCCCACCGCGCAAATCGGAGCTTCGACTCGACGAAGCTATTTTATAATCGATTAGAATAAAATGATGTTTAAAACAAGCTGGAAAAACATCTCCAAGAATATTTTGTGTTTTATTCTACTTTATCATATATATCTGAAATTAATAATATAGCTAACTGATAAATTATATGATTAATTAATTGATTATACCTATGCCAGTCTATATATACGTCTTGTGTTTTTACTTTTATTATAATGTAGTATAAAAATAGAATTTATCCTTCGTGTATATATAAGAAAGAAGCATATAAATAGCGTTCACTAAATTATTTTTATCATTAAACAAAAAAAATGTACGCTTGGATAATCGAAATAGTATTGATCAATTATTCGGGAAGTAATTTTTTTCTCTGTGCAGAGCTAGGCGATAGATCTCGTGGAAAAGTTTGCACCTGTTCCCCGGCTTTTCCTATTCACGTGTTGATTGCCATATATAAATAGCGGTTGTCAAACCGGCGAATCATGCAATTTGCTCGCTGCGTCGAAAACACGGGGTAACGGACGCTTTTAATTTTTGCTTCGTCAAATTTCATTTGCATTTGTAATTGAAAAAAAAATAATAAAAATTGGGTAACACGCGACGAACGTATCGATGTCACTCAATTCTAGACGTACCGGCACTTGGTTCGAATCAGATTCGATATCGTGCGATCCCACTTCCAGATTGAAACCGCTGGTAATTTCGTATTCGCGAATCGAATAAAACAATCAAAGATTCCGTTGTTCAGTTGTATACTTGACATCGTATGTATAGGGTGGCCTATAGAGGGTTTCGTGTTCGTAAGTCACGTGCGAAAATTCATGGCGTAGGGAAAAATTCAAATTTATCGACTAATCTGAATAAAGGATCGGCGTTGAAAGGCTTAAATCTGTCGTAATATAACCCCCGTCTTTGCGATCTATATGCAAGTCAAGCAGCATTCACGATACTTGATTCGCCTCGGTGAAACGCGTCGTTTGTCGCGAAATCGAAATTCCGAAACGAGGTCGCGCAAGAGTCTCGCGCATAATAAAAGTAATAGACGTAAGCAGTGGCGTTAAATTACGCGCGGCTGACGTTGCTACGCGTGAAATACGGTCTGAGGAAGAAGGACTGATATCGCGTTTTTGTTACGACGTTTTGCGGTTTGAATCGCGACGGGTAAACCGAAATGAATATGCAGTCGTTCTCCTGTGTATTTGCACGATTATAATCGCTCGGTGAACGGAAACGAATATTCCAGGTAAGGCTCGGGAAGATTTAAAGCCAGAATAACGAGACAGACAGCCCCATTTCAGACAAATCAGAAGATTTTGCCGCGACCACGCGAACGAGATTATGCGGATATTATGTATATGAAATAATGTTTCTTTTCGTCAAAGTATTAGATGACCTAAAAACGATGTATTTACAGGACACGAATATCTATTTGATAAATTTAAGTTGTTATAATACAAAAATATCATGCAGATGTGTACTTGTTTCTTCGTTAAACGAAGTGTTTTATCTTTGCCGTGTTTAATAGTCGAAGATAGATTTTTCTTTTAATAAATCGAAAGCACACAAAACTTCGAGATACCAATGGTTTTCGGATTATGAACGATTGATTGAAAATGTGAACAGCCATTAGCTGAATTTTCGCGAAATAAATTGCGTCGCAAACGCTGCACAAAATTGAAATTTATCGAATATTTATACAATGTTTATAGAATATTGTAGATGAACCCATTACCTGGACAAATTAGTAATTAAATTTTATAGCGTAACTGGACGATTA